GGTTGGAGCCCAGGGGTGGGGATTTATAGATAGATAGATATATAAGTATTTCGGTGTGAATCACACCAAGGATAACCCAGGACTTGTTGTGGTGTTCTGGTGGGGAATTGGGCAGTACACCGGCAGACAATCCCCTACTGTTTTCCGAAGAGTTTATGCCAGTATATCCGAGTTATTTATATAAAAGGCCTCAATATCATCACAACTACATGACGTATTTACATTTAAGTCATTAATGTATTTATTAATATCAGATTATGATACTGCTGTAAACAATATTGAATTTGACATGTTATGTATAGCATTGCCTTAGCTGTGTTATTTTCGTGGTTATCATGACGTAGGCCATCATTTGCTCTCACCATTGATAAAGTATGAGTTAAACGCATTCGCTATAGCGATCGGGTCATTTAGTTGCTTGGAATTTAATTTAATTTTCAAAAGTATATCATGATGTTTTTTCCTACCTAACATTTTGTTATAACGTCCCATGTTTTCTTTATGTTACTCTTATGCTTTTCGAATTCATTTTTATAGTAAATCTTCTTTCCTTTCCCTGATTACAGATTGTTTCTTTTCATATTTAATGTATAGTTTATTTTTGATACAAAGCTAGTGATTTTTGAATTCCATGGGTTATCCACGGAGATTTAATTGTATTTACTTTTGACTTTTGTTAATGGAAAACACCGATCTATCATTGTTTTTAAAGTATTTGAGAAATGTTTATATGACTCATTAGCGTCTTCACATCTAGTTACATGCTGCCACTCATGGTCCTCTAATTCAATTCTAAACTGTTGCTTTTGTTGTTACGGTATAACTTAATTATATTTTTTTTTTGTAGTCGTGGTGATAAATATTTTTCTGAATCATTCATGCAGAAAACTCCGAAGTGATCAGAGGTGTCATTAACTAATATTTCTGTGTGTATATTTTGCAATTCTTGATTATTCTTATAAGTATTATCAATTATTTTGGTAATGTCCTTTGTGATTTGAGTGGGTTTATTTACAAGTGGAATAAAAGATTATGTTAATATATTATCCGCGGGACTGAAGATCTAAATTAAAATCGCCCATAAGATACCGGGTATGCATTTTTACTTTCATGGTTTACTGTGTGCATTAATTCACTAAGTTGGTTAAGTGTTGGGATTATGTGCTTTAGGGGACTGAATTTGAATTTATTCGCATCTCAATACATAGTAAAATACGTAAACAATACATGAAAAAATATATAAAGTAGTTAAGTAATTAACCTTAATCTAATAACAATACATTTTTAAAATTTTTCATTTTAAAATTCACTTTATCTTAATTATTTTATTTATGTAATTAGAAAACTTAACTACTTAAAAATATACGAAGCCAAATTATGAAAAAGACAGGTAACAGGAAAAACACACAGTAGACAGAGATGCAAGGAAAGCCCATGATAGTCCTAGGCTTATTTCAAAGAACCTAAATAGCAGAAGAATGATCTGCTCCGCGTATTTGTATTAAATTTGATGGAACATCCGCCCTCCTGCGAATGGGGTAAAATTTGACCATTTTACTAAGTGGAGAAACTACAGGAAACAAACGAACCAGAGCGGCGCCTTTATTATT